TTGTCCCTGATTGAGAACCACAGCCATAGAACAACCAGGAGGACTAAGTGGGATCCTGCGTGTAAGGCCATTAGCACATTGCATTGCACCCCCATGGAGTGGACTTTCAAGGACCCCTCGCCCCTTTCACATCTCCCTAGGACTTCTACCCTGGGAGAACCTGCTGGAAAACCTGCATCCTTCCCACTTTAACATCCTTCAAGCACTAGAGACAGGCACCGAGAGCAGAGGCTGGATCACACCTGCTTGCTGACCATTAGCATGTAAGGCCTGTGGGCTTCATGAGCAGAGATGGGTTCCCATCCACATTCTGTGCTTCTTGGTGCCCACTCCATGGGGACATGAGGACTTTGCCCTCTTTACTCACTCCCTGACCTGGTGTTACCCTTGCCTTTGACCCCAGTCAGCACTTCTCCTTAGGAATGGGTGGACAGAGAAGGTTGAAGGTACAGAGAGGCCAGCAAGTCGAGGGAGGGTACCCAGAGCTCCCCCTAGAGGTGAGAGTGCAGCACTGAGTACCGATGGTTATGAAAGGGGTGGGTGGGCTGAACCTGGAGAAACAGGACCGTGTAACCTCACCAAGGGGGCCAGTAGAACTGTGCCAGGAGTCACAAGCCCGAGAGGTAATGGAGTCTGTGATCTCCATTCAAAGGAGGAGGAAGGACCATTTGTGAATTTTTCAGTGTTTTCAAGCTGTTTCCCAGACTCTAGGACCCTGCAGAGATGATCCGACAGTTCCAGAGGCAGGGAAAGTATTTCTCCGGGCTTTGGAGGTTTAAATTACCTAAGGAACTGTTCTTCACTGTCATCTGTTCTGTGTTTGGGATTTTGCATAAAAAGATTTTGGGGAAAAAAACATTGGGTTAGATGGTCTCCAAGGCCCAGCTCAACTTTAACAGTTAAAATGACAGACATCCGGCAATTCTTTTCCTCCGTCTTCTATTTTTTTGGTAAATTGGCATTTTGTTTTTTTGAAACCGAGTTTCCTGGAATAGAGACACACCCGCACTCAATAATAAGTATATCCAATGTCCCACTGCTAAAATTGCTTTTACCAGCAGTACATGGAATTACTTTACCTTGTAACTACCAGCTGGTGTTCTGACTCAACACATCCTAAGGCCAGCGAGTGAGAACTCAGCATCAGTACCGGCAGACAGGATATTGATCTTAATATTTGCGAATCTTCTTATAAAAGAACCTATGTTTCTCTACAACCATCCAAACAGATGAGGGCTGAACCTGATGCCTAAAGCTGTGGAACTTGTTTTAGTCATGATGTTCCAAACTCATTTCTAAATGTATGTCCTGCACTGGCTTCCTGGCGCATCGGAGTTATTATTATCATCATTGTTTTTGTAATTGGTCCAGTTGCCTCTAGAAGGAGAGAGAATTACAGAGATTAGGGAGAAAGAGACAGACAGAGAGAGAGAGAGAGAATAGCTCACGTGGAGGTCCAGTGGAACAGCGAATTGATGAGCACCTTGAAGTGACCAAGAAGGAAATAGGGAATGAAATGTAAATGATGGGAAAACATTTACATTTGTTTCTGGCTGGTGTTCAGGTTGGGTGCTTGGATCCTCGGTCTCTGGTGGCACTGCAGAAAGACCAGGGGATGAGAATCGGGGACATTGGGAAAGTCTCTTTTCATCTGCCAGCCTCAGTTTCCTGACATTTGAAATGAGGGATGAAGTGCTGCATCGTTGTCCAGAGTCTTTGCACCTCCAACAGCTGGGTTTTCAGGGTAGGGGTGGGTCTGTGTTGGGCAGAACTGTTTATTGAAAGGTAAAAAAGACAGGAAGGAGCAATTCTAAATAGTCCAAAATGGCCAGGTGCAGTGGCTCATGTCTATAATCCCAGCACTCTGAGAGGCTGAGGCGGGCAGATCACCTGGGGTGAGGAGTTCGAGACCAGCCTGGCCAACATGGTGAAACCTGGTCTTTCCTAAAAATTAAAAAAATTAGTGGGGCATGGTGGCGCATGCCTATAATCCCAGCTACTCAGCAGGCTGAGGCAGGAGGATCTCTTGAACCTGAGGTGGAGGTTGCAGTGAGCCGAGATTGCACCATTGCACTCCAGCCTAAGCAACAAGAGTGAAACTCCGTCTCAAAAAAAAAAAAAAAAGTCCAAAACTGAACTCAGCCCCAGCTCATCTCCCAGTGGTGGCCCTGAGCTCTGGATCTCCTGCCCCTGTCCCTGTGGAGATTATAGAGAACTCCCCTTCCCTAAACGTGCCCAGCAGCCCCATAGATTCCCTCCCCAGCACTGATTCCACCCCCGACCACTCTTTATTGCCCATCTCCCTCCAAGACAGTGAGCTCAGTGCGGGAGGGACCATGTCTGTCCTACTCACGCCAGGCGCCATGTACAGAGAGGGCACCAGCTCATCACAGGAGCAGAGTCAAAGTCAGCCACCTCCAGTGAGAGCTCTGTGTGTGGACGGTGAGGGCTGCTGTTCATTACCTGTGATGGCCGTAACTAAGATCCACACACTGGGTGGCTTAAACAAAAATTATTCTCTCACAGTTTTGAAGGCCAGGAGTCTGAGATGAAGTGGTTGGCAGGGTTTGTTCCTCCTGAGGCTGAGGGAAGGACCTGTTCCAGGCCTCTCTCCTTGGCTCGTGGATGGCTGTCTTCTTCACATTGTCTTTCCTCTGTGCGTCTTTCTTTTATAAGGAAAAGTCCCCCTTTTATAAGGACTCAGGTCTTGTTGAATTAGGACTGACTCTAATGACTCAATTGGATTACTTCTATAAAGAGCCTATGTCCAAATGAGGTCACATTCTGAGGTCCTGGGGGCTAGGACTTCAGCATATGAATTTGGGGGACACAATTTCCCTTGTAACAGCAGTGATCAGAGGCGAGCCTTGGCCATTCACACTGCCTGGCCTTTCACCTTGGTGCCCAGCTCCAGGACATAGTGCCTCGGTTTTGTCTTCTGTGAAATGGTCGTGTTAATAGTCACCAGTTCATAACGATTCTAAGGGGCATTTTCAGTTGAGATCGGCTCTCATCATTCTAACTATGGTAGTTGTTTCTGGCGAAGTGCGAAGGGGTCTCACACACGCAAATGGTGGGCAGAAAATGCTCATCCATGGAAGTCACCACTTCCCATTAGATTTTTTAAAAATTGAAGAAAGATTTTTAAAATGTTAGTGTATCCAGTTAATTCGCCTTTCTAGAGAGCACCCGGGGTTTTGGTTTTGCTCTGCCTATGATACGGTGAAATGGACAGGCCCTCGTTCAATTCACAGATAAGAGAGAAGGCTAAAAACTCAGGGAAAAAAGCTCCTTTCTGGGTGTGCACATCTGAGCGGGCACAGGCACACCCCTCAGGGCCAGTGTCTTCTCCAGGGCCCCCTGTTTGGTAAAGATAATGGTGTCCCTTCCCTCCAGGGAACCGTAGCCCTCCAGGGATCAGGACCCCGTGCCCCTTTGGGCTGGCGCCCTCTATCTGCAGCAGCCCTGTGGGAATTGCGCTTCCATGAGGCTGGAGCCAGAGCCTTAAGTGCCACGGTGTTACCCACACAATGTGTGGGCTTGATCACGTGGTGGGTGACAGTCCAATGAGCACAACCTGGGAGGGTGGCCAGTGAGGTCGATGCAAGCAGATGATGCTTCTACATACGCCGCATGCAGAGGAAATCAGCTCCTCCCTGGGTGGGGTTGTCAGGATGGTGATCAGGGGAGTTAGTTTCCAACTCAGGCATCTCCGGATCCTACCAGTTTGCGGGGCGGGGCTGCTTCTTGGAACTTTTCTGAAGCAAGAACTCAAAGTGCAGCCAGTACAAGTGATTGCTTTTTCACAGTGTGTACCTGGAAACCCCAAACCCAGGGACCAAGGTGGCAGTGGAATCCCAGTGTGGTGTCTGACTCAGGGTTAGTGTTCGCTCAGCACCTGCGGAGGGACTGAGACGGTCGCCGTCGCCGTGCTCTGGGACTCTGCTCGATGGCAGACACTACTGGGGCCCTGAGAACACAGAAATGAGCGTGGTCAAATTCCCCCTTTCAGCAGCCCACAGCTTCGTGGAGGAGACAGACAGCAATAATTGTATTGACACATATTAATGGCAATCAACTTCATATGGGTTAATCGCGGATTCATCGCTCAGATTTCTCCAGGATCAGTTTGTTGCACCACCACACGTGCCAGGGAAATTGTTGCTTTGTAATCCCAAGACGTGTGGCCATGATACCAACCTGAAAACATCTTGGAGCGCGGTTCAGCTGGAGAGGCCCCAGGAGAGACCTTCATGGGGGCCGGGGCAAGGGGAGCGGGGGCCGGGAGTACACTGCTGCTCAGAAGCACTCCAAACCTTGTCCCCAGGGTCACAGTCAAGAAAGTCTGCCCGAGCTTTGAGAGGGGCTTAGAAGCAAGAAACTGCACACAGCAATGTTGAGAAAACATGGTCAGGAGGCTTCATTTTCTACCAAGTTCAGAAATTGGGGGAGAGCAGAGCTTACACGTCCTCATCGTGAGAAGGGGAGGGCAGGCGAGAAGGCAGGGGACGAGGCTGGAGTCCTCCCATCCCTCAGCCCAACCACACCGAGACACTGGCCATCTCGGCCCTGCCCACCCCATGGGCCAGTTCAGCCAGGAGAGGGAAAGCGGCGGCCAAGGCCCAGTAGCAGGTGGGGGCTATGACTGGAGATGTCCCTGGGTGCCCCAAGCCAGTGACTGGAGCAGGGACTCTGGTGTTAAGCTGCTGAGAGTGAGTCCTGCCTCTGGCATTTATGGGCTGTGTGACCTCGGTGAGCCACCCCTAACCTCCTGTGGCCACAGGAGCAGCACCCACCTGCCAGGTCCTGCACTGGCCCCTGGGTCCGGTTACCGTTGGCACATGGGTTCAGGCCACCTGCTCTGCCGTGAAAGAGAAGCACCCACTCTTACTTGAAGAGGAAGAATAAACCGTCCCTCATAATCACACAGTCTTAAAGTGTGTGGATGGTGCCTTCTGATGGTCCTCTCTCTAATTCTGGCTGTTGTCCTTTGGTTGCAGAGGCCGTACGAAATCCACTCGGCCACGCCCATCGATGAAATCCTCAACATGTTCAAGGTGGAACGTGTCCACTACTCCTCCACATGGTGCAAGGGGATGGTGGCCCTGCTGAGGAAGGTAAGGGGGCAGCTGCCAGCCTGCCCCACCAGGGAGCTACAGTGAGTGTAGAAACAGCCATATCAGCAAACGAAGGGGTGAGACTACAAATGGCATACCAGGGGTAGAAATGATCAAATCAGCTGCACTCAAATGCCAAATGCCTTGGAATAAGCACTGTTATGGGGGTGCTTGCAGATCAGCACACCTCAGAGGACAGTGGCGACTGTGACAGCTCTTGTCACTCTGCTACGAGCTCCTAATAAACAGAAATACTTAATGCATGTGGGTTTTTTGTTTGTTTGTTTGTTTTTTGAGGGAGTCTTGCTCTGTCGCCCAGGCTGGAGTGCAGTGGTGCAATCTCAGCTCACTGCAAGCTCCACCTTCCATATTCACGCCATTCTCCTGCCTCAGCTTCCTAAGTAGCTGGGTCCACAGGCCCCCACCACCACACCCGGCTAATTTTTTGTGTTTTTAGTGGAGACGGGGTTTCACAATGTTAGCCAGGATGGTCTCGATCTTCTGACCTTGTGATCCACCCGCCTCGGCCTCCCAAAGTGCTGGGATTACAGGCGTGAGCCACCACGCCTGGCCTGCATGTGGGTTTTTAAAATCTGCTGTACATGGTCTTTTCACTCAATGACCTTTAAGAAATTGGATATCTCAGCCGGGCGTGGTGGCTCAAGCCTGTAATCCCAGCACTTTGGGAGGCCAAGATGGGTGGATCACCTGAGGTCAGGAGTTCGAGACCAGCCTGACCAACATGGAGAAACCCCGTCTCTACTAAAAATACAAAATTAGTCAGACGTGGTGGTGCATCCCTATAATCCCAGCTACTCGGGAGGCTGAGGTAGGACAATCACTTGAACATGGGAGGCAGAGGTTGTGGTGAGCTGAGATCACACCATTGCATTTCAGCCTGGGTAACAAGGGTGAAACTGAAAAAAAAAAAAAGTAAGAAAGAGAGAAAGAGAAGGAGAGAAGGAGGAAAGAGGAAGGAGGGAGGGAGGGAGGAAGGGAGGGAGGGAGGAAGGAAGGAATCTCCTTGACTTTCTGCAGGAACTGTTGCTATTAGAATAAAGCAGTGGTTCTCAAGGTATGGGCCTAGGACCAGCCAGCATCAACGTCACGTGGGAGCCTATTAGAAATGCACATCCTCAGGCTCCACCCAGACCTGAATCAGACGCCCGGGGTGGGCCCCACTCTCTGTGTCTCCATGAGCTCTCCAGGTGGTTCTGGTGCGCACTCCAGTCCAGCATGGGCAGGAGATCTTGGTGCCCTGCCTTCAAGGCTCCCTTCACATCCTCCATGATGCATGGAGCTGAGTCTTGCATGAGGTTGGCACCCAGTTGTTTTTAAAGCAATGATGACAACAGCAGCCAGCACTGTTGAGGGTCCTGTGTTCTAGGCCATGTGATTGCTCTTCTCCCTTACCCCTTTCAAGCCCTGTGAGCAGGGGGAGTGTCATTATCCCAGTACCAGAGATGAGAAAGCTAAGGCATAAGAAAGCAAAATCATTCAATCAGTGCCACAGAGCTATTAAAAGGCAGAAGTAGGATTTTGATCCAAACCCTCCTAACTCCAGGTCCCAGCTTTTAATATCCCTACATGGCTATAATGGCTTGTTGAATTACTAATCAGTTAAATTACTTTAAAGGAAATCTGCCACCTGGTTCTTGAGAGCTTGTTTGGAGGCTGTAGCAGGGGAGCACAGCTGCTCATATACCCTTGACCGAAGACCGGTCCTCCTCTGTTGGGGATGGCCGTCCTCTTTGACCAAGTGCACAGCTTTCGGAGGGACACACACAGAGCCATGAGAGAGCAAGGGCACACCTGCGTAGCCAGCCAAATCAGCCAAATCAACCCTGGAAATCAGTGGCGTGGCAGGTGTCACAGCCAGGTCGCCCTCACATCCCATCACTTGGTTCTTATAAGTCAGTGTCTCTTAACCCTGATTGCTTATTAGAACCATGTGGAAGCCTTACGTACCACCAATGCCTGCACCTCCTAGCCCACCCAAGTGGCTCAGAATCTGGCCCTCAGGTCTGGGCATCAGCATGTTTTCAGAACAGCCACCCTGAACAGTGAACTTCCAGATGGCATTGAAGTGGAACCTGCTTAAGTGGGCACCCATTGTTTTGGGACAGTCCCTAAAGAGTGGCAGCCATGATCAGCAGATGCAACCCCTGCTAGCTATCCCTGTGGGCTGTGACTCCAGCCACTCAATGGGCATAGCTGGAAGATTTCTGCAGTGACAGGTGTGTGAGAACTGACAGGGGGCTCTGACTTCCAGCTCCACCTGTGGACGCTGCTGTGCCTCCCCTTTCTAAGTATGTGCCAGGTCCTTACCAGTCCCATTTGGTCTCGTCCTACCATGAGCTGGAAGTGAAGTAGAGGAGTCTCCATTATTTCCCCTGCTTTCGGGGGAGGCAGTGAGGCAAGTAACAGCAGCTCGCCTAAGGTCACAGCTGTTAAATGGCAGTCCCAGGGCCAGGCCTCTGAATTTTCATTCTTGGCCCCTGTGCTTTTTCAACAGATAAGCTGCAGGGTTTTGGCAAGTTGGGAGCCCCGCTGGGATGCCAGGTCATAGTCTTTGGCTGTTCTTATCCTGCATCACTCCTTATTAGCTGAAACTCAATTATAAGAGAAGCTAAAAAGTGTCCCCTTGGCTACAAATGAGGCCACTTCATTAGGTCACAGAGGTCACCTCGTAGCTGTCCAGGGACAAATTTTATTACAACTTGGTGCCTCCCGTTACCAAGTTGGAAATCCTAGTATGAGGCAACTAATTCTTTCTATTTGTAATTGGATGCTTCTGCAGACATCAGAGAGGCCGCCTGTTACAGGCTCCAGTCCCAGAAAGGAACACGGGGGCTGAAAGTCTGGTCCCTGCCCCAACAGCCCCTCACTGGGTGACCTCGCAGAAGCAGCCTGACCTCTCAGTTTCTCCCTGGCTATAAAGAGATGAGTGCAGATGGCACTTCCAACAACAGTGCCCCACACAGGGCACGACATCACTAGGGCATGAAGAGCAGAGGCCCATTAATTGCCGTGAGACCCCATCCTTCAGAGTCCCTGCTACCCTTGAGGGATGCCCAGTTCACGGAAGCCCATTTGTCCTCTGAGTGCAGCTCCTGACCAAGGACCCTGAGAGCCGCCTGTCCAGCCTTCGTGACATTCAGAGCGTGCCCTACTTGGCCGACATGAACTGGGACGCGGTGTTCGAGAAGGCATTGATGCCCGGCTTTGTGCCCAATGTGAGTAGAAGTCCCACCTGATGTCATGCCACCCCTCTGCAGGGTCCGGTCCACGCCTTGGTGCAAAGCAAGACTTTGGCAGCTGGCCAGTGAGCCCTCTGCTGGCCACGGCTACCTCAGCACCAAGGGCTTATGTCTTGCTGGAATTCGGGGTGAACTTGGGCCTGATTTCCAGGGTCCCAGCTGTGCAGCTTCCCTCCTCGTGGTAGGTCTTTTGGGGGTGTCAAGCCTTCTCTCTGTCACTGAATCCCACCCCCATGTGCTCAGGTCCAGGTGTGGGGGTAGCAGGCTGATCTACTCTTCTGCCTCCACAGAGCTGACTGCCCAGTAGAGGAAGACAGGCGATGACCTACCCCGACAGGGCAGTCAGCACTTGTTGCACAAGCTCGGAAGAGGGAGAGGTGGGATGGGGGGGGCGCAGGCAGGGGCTTCTTTTAGGGAGAGTCGGCAGAGACCTAGAGGTGAAGTGAGGGAACCAGGACTGCAGGGATGGGCACTGAGCCCTCCAGGCAAAGGGATCGCCAAGATCACACTCTCAAAGGCAGCAGAAGGCCTGGGTTTCAAAGAATAATTTCATAGCATTTAAGGGACTAAACCAGAGCGAAAATGATAGGAAATGGGGCCAGGAGGGAATATATGCCACACCAAAAAGGCTTCCAGAGGCCACGGTCAAGGTTTTAGGTTTTGTCCCCTGGAAACTGGAGTGTTTAAGGCAGGGAGGTAAAAGTGGTGGATTTACATTTTAACAGAGGATTCTGGCAGGAGCTGCAGGCTCCTGGGTCCTCCAGGAGAGACGCTGAAAGTTTGGACCTGCCTGGAAGCCTCCTGTGGTCCCTTCCTGCTGGGCAGTTGCATTTCTCCTGGAGAGAATTGCAGAGAGCACCTGAGGAGTAGTGACAATTGGGGCAGAAATCCTGGGTGACATTCTGGTTCAGCCACCTCTGCCCTCTGTGACGGAGGAGAGCACACCCCCCCACCCCCGCTCACCTATCCTTGCCCTGCCCGGTGGCATGGTGTGAGCAGGAAAGAGATCACAACATGTGCTCTTTGTCGTTGCCTGTTCCAGCCCCGTATGATGTGAATGGAGGTGAAGACTCCAGCCTGGAAGGCAAGAGATTTCTTGGGCCCACTAGGCTGGTTCCTGGGGAGCCTCAGACGTTCCCGGCTGGTGTTTCACGTCATATTATTTTAAAGAATTCTGCCACTCCTTTTGGTGCAAAAGTAATGTTTCCCCACATCAGTTTCTCCAGGAGTGCCAGGCTTCCAGACCCTTTTCGCAAACCGTGGTAGCAGCACACGCACATTTCTGAACACAGACCCTCCCCACAGCCTGCCCAGTGTTCACCACTGAATCCAACCGAAGCCACGCCTGGCTGACGCTAGTCTGTTCCTGTCCTTTCCCTGTAAGCAGTGTTGCATCCCCACCTGCTTAGCCAGTCCACCTGGTCCAGGGCTGGCCCTGCTCTCCCCTGAGCCCACCTTTCTCCCCACTTCCCTCCCAGGCAGGGCTCCAGACGGGCTATGTAATGGCAGGTCGCACAGTGCTGCGTCCCTGTCTCCCAGGCCTGGTCATGTGCCGTTCCCACTGCCTGGACCTCCTTCTCCCCGCCCAGACCTGCCTGGCCTTGGGGACTCTGCCCGGCTGGAAGGCTTCCTTGACCCCGGGGTGGACATGGTGCTGCCTCTGAGTGCAGAAAGCTCCCTGGCTCTGCAGACACCCCTCGGACTCTGTGGGAAACAGGCCATGGGGACAAAGTGTCCAGGGCAGGCTTAGCATAGAGTGGCTGTTCAGGTAGAGCTCTCTGCTGTTCTCCCAATATAATTGTTTTAGGGTTTCACTTGGCCAACTGGGAGCTCTGTGTGAGCTGTGTGTGCCTGTGTGGGTATGTGTGGAAGTGTGTCTGTGTGTGTGCCCATGCATCTGTGTCTGCCTGTGCATCTGTGTGTATCTGTGTGTGCATGCCAGTGCACTTGTGTGTACCCATGTATCTGTGTGTCTGCATGTCTGTATGTCTGTGTGCATGCCTGTGTGTGTGCCTGTATGTCTATGTGTGCCTGGGTATCTGTATGTGTGTGCCTGTGTATCTGTGTGTGTGTGTATCTATGTGTGCGTGTCTGTGTGTACCTGTATTCCTCCCGTGTGATTGTCCCTGCTTGGTGTGTCCTAATCATCTGTATGCTCTGTCGGTTTCCGTGTGCTGTGCTGTGTGTGTGGCTGTGGTCTATAAGTCTGATGCTGTCTGTGCATCTGCGTGTGTGTGTGCCTGTGTGTCTTGTGTATGTCTGTGGGTCAGCAGGTGTGCCTTGGGGCCAGGAGGGGCAGCTGTGGGGGCAATGGCAATGGCTTCATGCTGGGGACAGGCAGTCTCCATCCCATTTCCCACCCTATTCTGCTGGCCAATGAGAAAGTCAGCTGTGGGTGAAAGCGCAGACCTGACTGTCACCATTGTGTGTCCGCCGAGCACCTCCACCCACCAGCGCTGTCCTGCACAGGAGCTGAACCCCTGGGAAGAAAACAACCCCAGGGCCAGCTGCCAGGGAGCTTACAGATGACAGTGGGCAGCCCCCACTGTGGATGACCTTTGGGGAGGGATCATTCTTTGAGATGGGGGACTGGCCTGTGCCTTGTAGGGTGTTGAGCTGCACCCCAGGACTGTACTCATGAGATGCCAGTAGCATCCCCTCTGTTGTGACCACCAAAAATGTCTCCAGACATTGCCAAGCATCCCCTGCGGATAAAGTTGTCCCCGGTTGACAACCACAGGACTAGGGTTTTGTGGAGCCATAAGCCAATAAGCCTACAAAGACAGAAAATAAACCATGGGGCAGAGCCCTCGGAAGGAGACCAGCAGGCCCCGCTGAGCCGGGAGTAAAAGTTTGGGTCTCTTCTGCCATCTCTGTGACCTCAGGCGGCTGCACCCCAATTCTTCACAGATCAGAGGAGAAACCAGGACCCTCGCCGAGCCTGGGGAGTAGTGTCCGGAGGCTTCCAAAGCCTCAGCTCTGAGCCTGTTCCCCTGGCGGACTTCCTTCTGAACGCAGGTTTTGGACAGCCCAGAGAAATATGCCCGCCTTCTCCATGGGCTGTGATCTGCCAGACTCAGGGTGAGATTGACGAAGGCCAGGAATCTCGATGCAGTCCTGCACATCAGGCACAGATTGTCTGATTAATGCTTCCTTGCGTGGTGTCTGAGCCTTCCCCAAGGCTGTGTGCTGGGATGCCCTGGAGGGCAGCCAGGGCCAGCCTGTGGCTTTGCCATATCATGTGCCTGCGCCTGCTGGCAGGTGCCTGCCTTTGCAGCCCCCTGGCCTGCCGCTCCTCCTCAGCCCCTCTCCTGCACACACCCACAGACCGTTGCACACTCACAGTCACACTCACACGCACACTCATTCCCACACACACATGCACACTTGCCCCCCCAGTCTCACACACATACTTACCCTACACAAACACATGCATTCACATATACACTCACCCACACATACCTTCACACACATGCACACTCCCATACAAACACACACACACACACGCAAGCCCCCCACCACATGCTCACCTACAGGGCCGTAAGCCTCAGCCCCACCCACAGGCCCATAGCCTCCCTCTGGCTGTGCTGTCTCCTAGCGGGAACCTTGCACAGGCCGCTTCCTTTTCTGGCAATCCCTTCCTCTCCTTGTCCACAAGGCAATCTCCTACCCCTCCTTCAAGACAGCACAAAGCAAGGACTGGCCCATTTGCCAGTCTCAGCGGAAGCCTTCTGTCTGTATTAGGCCATTCTTGCATTGCTATAAAGGAATAACTGAGGTTTGGTAATTTATAAAGAAGAGAGGCTTCATTGGCTTACAGTCCTGCAGGCCGTACAGGAAGCATGGTGCCTGCATCTGCTTTGCTTCTGGGGAGGCATCAGGGAGCTTCCAGTCAGGGCGGAAGGTGAAGCAGGAGCAGGTGTGTTACGTGGCAGGAGCAGGAACAGCAGTGGGAGTGGGGGGTGCCACACATTCTTAAACTGCCAGATCTCTCACGAGAGCTCCCTCACTATTGTGAGGACAGCACCAAGCCATGAGGGATCCATCCCCGTGAACCAGACACCTCCCACCAGGCCCCACCTCCCAAACCGGGAATTACATCTCAGCATAAGATTTGCAGGGGACATGCAAATTATGTCACCTTCTGAGTGAAAGACAAGCCCAAGCCTGGCTGCCCCTGCAGCACTCCCAGCCAGCGCCACCACCTCCCTGCACAGAGCAGGCCTCAGCCTCTCCCGAAACCGTCTGCACGGGTGTCTAGGGATACATCAGTGGTCAGAACACTCTGTCACAGTGCGCCTGCCATCCTGCTGGGAGCTTCGGAGGGTGGGGGCCCCGGAGTGTTGGCTGACCTCTGCCTGAGCCAGCCCCCAGAACAATGGGTGACGATCGAAGGCACTAGAAGGCCTAAGTGTGTGCTTGTCATGTGAGTGAACGAATGATGATGGCCAACAGGACTGAGCATGTTCTGTGTACCTGGCATTGTCCTGATAAGTTTGTGTGCCTTATCTCGTGTCAGCTTCACACCAGTCCTGGGAAGTGGATCCTGTTAACGGCAATCTCAGCAAGGTTAGGCAACTTGCCCAAGATTTCCCAGTGAGAAACTGACAGAGCTTGAATTCAGATGGTCTACATCCAGAGTCTGCATTTTTATGAATGAATGAATGAATGAATGGCAGGCAAAACCGGTCTGGAGAGAACTGGGCCTGAAATTCAACTTGCTTTTTAGGGGAGGGCAACTTCTGGAGGACAGACGTGTGAAATCAGGGAAGGGGATTATAGTTGAATTCCAGGAGTTGGTGATGATGGACAAAGCCCAGTGCCAGGCAGGGGAAGGGAGAGGCCACTGGCACCACGAACCCACGAAGGGCCCACAGCAGGTCACAACAGAAAGGATGAGGCCCAGCCTCTAGAACTGGGAAAGCAAGGGGCAAAGGACATAGGACTCTACTCCATCAGCCCACGAATGACACAATGACAACAACGGTAACATTTATTGGGCACCTGCTGTGTGGCAGGGACTAGGCTAGGAGCTTTTCTTGCATTTTCTCATGCGAGCCTCACAAACTTGCACTAGTGCCCTGATCTCACCGTGTGGAAACTGAGGCCCATAGAGGTTTAGGGAGTTCCTGGGGGTTAGGGAAGCCAGGACTTTCCTCAGTTCCGTCTGCAAAGTCCCTGTCTTCCTCCTGCCCCCAGGTCATGGCAAAGGCACTGACTGCCTAATCAAGTGGATTAGGCAGCATGGCAAAGGCAAGTTCAGCCTTAGGTAGCGAGACCCTTTCTTGTAAATTGGGTTCAAGGCCAGGAATCCTAGGGAGGTGAGGGGACAGCAGAGAAGCAGAGGGAATGGGCAGTTGTGGAAGGGCCACCATGGTCAAGCAGCCACTGTTCTGGAAGCTTGGCAAACTCTTCTCATCTGATCCCTCAACAACCTCTAAGCCTGCCATATTTCACAATGATGAGGAAACTGAGGCAGAGAGAGGTTACAAATCTCCCTCAGTGTCACACAGGTAAAAGGAGAGGACACAGGGCCCAGTGGCAAGGCTGGCTGACCCCAAGGCTGTGCCTCGCCTCTCTCCTTCTTGGCCAAGTCACAGCAGGCCCAGGTCCTAACAGGCCCAGGGACCACCACTGTAGGGAGGACTTGCTTCGTGCTTGGCCCTACTTGAAGTACTTTATAGATATTATATTATTAATTCCCTATATGGGAATTATTGTCACCCAAACTTTACAGATAATGAACTGAGTCCCGAGGAAGTCATGAAACTTACAAGGTCAGGAAGTAGCAGAACTGGGATTTTTCCCTGTGCAGCTCCAAAGCTGCTGTCCTAGCCACCGGGCTGCATTGCCCTTGGGGACCGGCACCTGCGGCCGTCATCTGGGCTGCAGCTCAGGAATGAAAGTGGCTACCAGGAATCTGGGTCCAAGGCCCAGAAGTCAGGGAGACCTAAATTGCTCCTGACCACAGCGGGAGGAGCCCCTGGCCAGGAGCAGGGCCGGGCCTGAGGGTCAGCTGACTCTATCGAGCTCCCCGGGAGGAGCAGGGAACCAGGGCAGGAAGTTGGGCAGGTTTTGAACTGAAATTGTATTCTTAAGTTATTTAGAATGATTTTTCTAAAAAAGATAGTCATGACAGGACAATGTGCATAGGATAAAATAATAAGTGAAAAAATCAGATTCGAAAACTGAACTCAACCTAGCATGAAAAACAGGCATAGAAAGGGGCCTAAGGAAATACCTACATGTTAACAGGAGTGGGGTTGCCTCAGGGGGACCATGTGTGTAAATAAATGATGTATACAGTGAGAACGTGTTGCTTCTTATCATCAGAAAACAGAAACAAAGGTCACCCATGTATCCCACGGGGGTAGTTCATCATTACTTGTTGAATGAATGAATGATTGAATGAATGAAAAGAAAATCAGTGACGGGTGGAATGCAGACAGACCATGTTTTCTTTTCTACTCCCCTTTAGAAAGGGAGGTTGAATTGTGATCCCACATTTGAGCTTGAAGAGATGATTCTAGAATCCAAGCCACTTCACAAAAAGAAGAAGCGGTTGGCAAAGAACAGATCCAGGGATAGCACAAAGGACAGCTGCCCGCTGGTGAGTGCTTCACGGGAGAGAAATCCTGTGCTCTAGGGTAATGACTGAGTCAGGCCACCGTTTAGCAAAAAGCGGATGTTTCACTCCTCCCTTCCAATTACCTTATTTTGCCGTAAATAAAATGCTACCATCAAACAAGTAGGGGGAAAGAGTGAAGGAAGGCATTCACGCTCCTGGCATTCCTTGAGTGCTATTCCTACAGCAGGAAGCTTGTGTAGCTCTAAGGCACAGGGAGGGACCCAGTGGTCCCGCTGCACCCTTGAGAAACATGTTGTACCGCAGAGACCCCCAGGGCTGCATAATGACTTTTGTGGGTGCTGGGTACTTTGCCTCTGTAGGCCTCTGTATTCGTTTCCTGGGGCTGCCACAAGCTGGGTGGCTTATAACAACCCACATGTATTCTCTCACAGTTCTGGAGGCCAGAAGTCCAAACTCAGGGTCTCCACAGAGCCTGGCTCTCTCCAAAGGCTATAGGGGAGGGGTCGTCCTTGGCTCCCCAGGCTTCGAGTGGCGGCCAGCCTCCTTGTCCTTCGCTAGCTCACTGTTGCATGACTCCAGTCTCTCTCTCGATCACCGCATGGCCTTATTCTGTGTCTTCACGTGTCTTCATATGGCCTTCATATAAGGACCCCAGTCATTGGGCTTAGGACCTACCTAATTCACTGTGACTTCATCTTAACTGCATTACATCTATAACATTTGGTTCTATTTCCAAATAAGGTCACATTTATAAGTACTTGGGGGTTGGGACTCAGGATACATTTCAGAGGACACAATTCAACACACAACAACCTCTCCTCTATAAAAGTCTATTAAAAGTTGAGCCCCTGGCATGATGGTTGTGAATTTCTGGTTTTCCATGCCTCTCACGTGGTCCTTAAGCGGTCAGGGAAATAAGCTCATGAATTTCAGCCCATATTCCATTCTAACGTGGCTTTTACATTGGATTTAATGGCCTAACGTGGAGAAAAGCATCTTTGTCCACCAGGCTACCCTTGGACACAGCCGCCCACGCAGTCAGGGCCAGCCCCAGACACTTAGCTTGTCTTGTGCCGGTCCCAAGCATCTGAGGTTTCCATCTAGATCAATCTGCCGTCCTCTGATGCTCCGTCATCGTGTCTCCCTGGAACATGCTTTGTCATTTAGTCACCTCTCTGTGCTCTTTGACAGAATGGACACCTGCAGCAGTGTTTGGAGACTGTCCGGAAGGAATTCATCATATTCAACAGAGAGAAGTAAGTTCTTCACGCTGTACCCTTTGGGCAAAGCCCATCCTAAGTGACCCAGGGTGCCCCTGGCAGAATCACAGTCCCTGTCCCCCAAACCAGCCTTGACGATGAAAGGGAAGGTATTACTGGAGTGAGTCACAGGGCCCTGGTGGGGATGAAGCTCCTGGGTTTTGAATTAGACAGGGCTGTGTTCTAATCCTGCCTCGCTGTGTGGCCTGAGCCAGTCTCTGGGAGCTCCCATGAGAGTGGGGAGGCTGCAGCAGCCCTGAGCGGGCACACGGGAACACAGGCGGCAAGGCAGGCTCACTGTGATGATGAGCAAGAGCCTGAAGTCAAGTTGCCTGGGGCCAAGTCCTGGCTCTGCCACTGCAGGGTGACCTTACCCTGCCTGAGCCTCCTCGTCAGCATCAGTACAGTGTGTCCATTCCTTAACATGCGGGGCTGTGAGAATTAAATGAGGCTGTTGTCCCACAGCACCTGGTATGGAAGGGGTTGTCAACACGGGAAGGTAATGACTTGTTATTAATATTTACTTGGGTAAGGTGGGTGGGGGATGCTGGAACCTTAGCAGCCTCGGATGGCAAAAGAGACACAGGGAGTCTGGGAGGGACTAGATGGGGTGTGCCCTGGCCGTGGGACTGCCCTCTAAGGGGCTGGTCGCAAAGCAGGCAGACACCCCAGGTTGGGTTCCAGTCAATGATAATATCTAGGGGATTTGTGGCTGTGGCTGACTTGTCAGAGCTGGGGCTCCAGCAGAGGTAGCCGATGAGCCCCATTTGACCCACACTAAGCCAGGCTTTGGGTTGGTAGAGGCAGATCAGAGATGCTTCCTGCCCTCCAGGAGATTCAAATATTCATTGACTCAAAAATTCATTGACTGCTGGCCCTTATGCAATCCCCAGTATTCAACCGTTTTGGCTTTCAGCAGATGCTGGCAGCACAGGGGATACGTTGTAAGGCCAAGGGCAGCCCAGGGCAGTGCATATCACAGCAGACACCTGGCTTAGCCTGGATGGTTGGGGAAGTTCTCTAGTTGAGGTGCTGAGCTGAGTTCAAGGGACATGTAGGGGAAGACGTGGCATTCCAGGAGTGGGAACAGTGCACAGGGTAGGAAGATGGCATGGCCGATGCAGGGCCCTGCAGTTGGTTAGGAGGCTTGGATTACCAGAGCCTAGAGAGTTGGGAGAGGTGAGGGCTGGGGCAGGGATGGGTGTTTGGATTCCAGCCATGGGCCAGTGGGCAGGACAGGGCCCCAGTCCCAGTCGACACTGGGGAGACAAAGGAGGCAGCAGCCTTTCACTGACCCTGGGTGGCTACAGCTCTGAAGGCCAGTAAGTGCCCAGATCAGCACAGACACAGACACCAGGCTTGGGCAGCAAGCCTCACTTGCTAGGGGACCACATGCTGGGGTCTCCTGGTTCCAGCCAACAGCACAGGAAGGGCCTGTGCAGCCACAGCCCATCAGACTTGGGGAAGGTGGGGGCGGACGTCGTGAGTGGTTTTGGAGCTTATCCCAATTTCCCTGCAGTCCTGCCCGCTCTGAGGCTCGTGGCCCTTCCCCCTGACTTCCAAACGCGGACCCAGGAACTTCTGCTCAAAGAGCATCAGTGATCCTGGGCTCAGGCAGCCTTCATTCTCTGTATATGGGCCATGGAGTCCAATGAGAGCAGCTGCTGGCAAATGTGAGCCTGCAAAAAGCTAAGCTGTGCGGAACCCAAGCAGACAGCAATCGCATTTCACCTTTTGCTGTGTGCCAGAACATGCTTCGGTTTGGATTCTTCCTTTTAAAAGGAAATGAGAATGAGACATCCTTCCCTGTGTCATTTAGGAGTTGCGTCTGGCTGCTTTTAGCAGAAACCCCACTGTATAGGAGCTTCAACCAAGTCGATGTTTTCTTTCTCACATGGAAATGTGAATTGATGAGGAAAATGCAGTCGGCCTACGGACACCATTGAGATGTGTCATCAGGAATTGGAAGTGAGAGTGAGGCTGGCATAGTTTACAGGAGTTGGCAAAAAAGAAAGAGGGGGGGAGAAGTCATGTGTTCCTGACAATGGGGAGCCAGGGAGAGCATGGCCATGGGGGAAGCTGTCGGCTGGGGTCTGAGCTGCAATTTCTGCTTCTTCATCCTGTCTTTGCTCACCTACGTGCTTTCTCCATGGCCCTGATGGCTGATAGGCTTCCTGTCACAGCAGGCATACAGGCTTACTGCCATATAAAGATATCCAGGTGAGAGGGCTTGGCCATGTCCCCCAAGATGCTATATGAGCATCAGCTGACTCCATCTCCACCTCGTCTCGTGGGAAGAGAGCCATGCGCCATCTACCCACAGCCCTCCGTGCTGCAGTTTCTCAGCAGTAAAAAATGCCTAGGAGAAGCTGATTCATGATGCATGATTGGCCCAAACCAAGCATTTTTCCTTTAAACAAACAAACAAAAAAAAAGTGAGACCTGTTTATCCTCCACTTCTGTCTGGAATCCCATGTTAGAGGCACTTGCTGTGCTGGCACTTGAGTAGCTGGAAAATTAAATCGAGCACCTTCTTCCCCACTTGAGCAGTGTGGTGAGTCGAGGGCTGGTTAGGGGGAGCCAAGCACCAAGCTGGGCTTGTCATCATGCTCCGCCTGGCCCACGTCCCTGGTGCCCAGCAGTTCTGCCTCCTTTCAATCTCTGCAGACCTGGCCATCAGCCTGACGCTGACTGCTCCTGCAGGATGTGCAGGCTCCCTGCATAGTGGAGGCTGCAGAGATAAATCACACATCATGCAGGAGTGCCACAGTACAGGGGGCAATCAGAATTGCCTGGGGGCCTGATAGCGTCTAGAGATGCTGCACCCGCCCATCAGTCTGACACCGACTGCTCTTGCAGAATGTGCAGGGGGTTGCCGGCTCCTTGCATGGTGGGGGCTGCAAAGATAAATCACACATCATACAGGAGGGCCACTGTCCCAGGGGGCAGTCGGAATTGCCTGAGGGCCTGTTAGCATCTAGAGATGCTGCACTTGCTGCAGGTTGCATGGTGTCCCTCAAAAGACGTATCGAAGCCCTAAGCCCCACTACTTCAGAATGTGACCTTATTTGGAAATAGGGTGGGTGCAAATGTAAGGAGATGAGGTCAGACTGGAGTAGGGTGGGCACCTAATCCAACATGACTGGTGTCTGTCCTGACAAGAGAAGAGATGCAGGCATGGGGAGAAGGCCATGGGGAGATTGCAGTGATGCAGCTACGAGCCAATGAGCGCCCAGCATTGGCAGCGGTCCAGAGCTGGGAGGAAGGACTGGAGCGGATTCTCCCTCAGAGCCCTCAGAAGGAGCCAGCCCTGCCCACACCTTGATTTCAGCCTCTAGAACTCTGGGGAATACATTTCTGTCGTTTAAAGCCACCCAGTTGCTAGTACTTAGTTATGGCCACCCTGAGACACTAATACAGCCAATACAGCTCCCTAATCCATTCCTTCCCAACCAGAAGCTGAGAGAATAAGCATGGGGATCTACATTTTAATATATCCTGCAAGCCATTCTGATGCTTAACAGTTTGGAATCTTCTGCAGGAGACAAGGGTGTCTAAGTGGTGCATCCTCTGGGGGTTCTGAGTTGAGTCACAAGGACCCTGTCTAAAACTGCGAACCCTCCCAGCTCTGGCTCCTTTGCCCTCAGGTATTCATCTGCAACTCCTACACTGAATTTATCTTAAAGATACATTCCCGCTATTCATGGTTTCAGCAAAAGTCTACTGGCTGCAGGATGCTCCTAGGGCCTTAACTTCCCTGCACAGCTGACTTCCTCTTGCATAGGCCAAGTATGCCTCCTCAGCTAGAGAAAGCTCTCGGGCAGAGGGACAGTTCCTGCAACTCCCACTGTGGTAAAGACACCATCATCTGCATGAAGCAGCAAGTGGGAGCTGAGAGGACATGGGCAGGGCATCCACTGTGTCAGCCCTGCAGGACAAATTCAGTCAGTCATTTGACAGCTAAGCCATAATCCTGGAGTGGGCCTCACACAGAAATGAGTCTTCAGGACCCGTGTGCTCAGAATGCCCATAGCCTGCAGCGGGGAGGATTACTAAACAGTGCGGTGTGTGTGCCGTGAAGCAGACACACAGGGGCCACCGTGGGGACAGGAGGACGTGCCCTGGGGCTAACCTCTCTGGACCCTTGTTTTTAAACAGAGAACAAAATTAAAATTAGCACTGCCAAATTTTCTGGAAATGCAGCTTATTATTGGCTAATGGTCTCAGCTGGCAAAAGGCCACTGAGCCAGGTGGAGCGTCTGCTTCCAGGGCTGGTCAGGGCTTTGAAGGCCTTGGCAGCTGAGACTTCCAGTGGGTTGAAAAATGCACCGGGGGGCCCGTCCTTCTATTCTTGGCCAAAGATCTGAGCAGGGCTGATTTTTCCAAGAGGTCTTTTCAATAGCATTTGACAACATTTTACAGAATAAGAAGCTCCTGGTGAGGAAGGAATTTAAGGGGCATTTTCTATCTTTGCTATCTCTTGAAGAAACAAAAACAGATTTAAAATCATATAAAACTACCCTTGGAGTCCTTGAAAATATCACATTTAAAAACTCTAATATTGCATTTGTTACACCAAAGAATACTATTAATACCAATAACAATCATCATTTGTATGTGACTTTATGGTTTTCGATCATGTTCCTTTAATCTAGAGTTTCTTAACCTTGGCATTGACTGTTGACATCAGTTCTTGGTTGTGAGGGCCGTCCTGTGCATTGCAGGATATCTGTAGAATCACTGCCCTCTATCCACTAGATACTAGTAACACCTTCACAGAGTGACAACCAAAAATGTCTCCAGGTATTGCCAAATGTTCTCTGGCAGGCACAGTCACCCCCAGTTGAGAGTCAGTGCTTTAGTCCTTACTTATCACATTTCCCTAAAAGAAATATCATTGGTATTCTCGAGGTCTTGCAATATGAAGAACCTGAACTCTAATCTCCCATCTCCTAGTTCCCAGGCTCTTTCTGCTAGCTGTGCTTTCATCCAGTGGTTTGGCAGATACTTACTGAGCATCTCCCTGGGGTCAGGTACAGGGGATACTGCTGGGAGCAAGGCCCCTGCTCTCAGGGAGCTCACACCCGGTGGCATGAGCTTTCAGATGTGCAGGAAGGATTGCTTTGCACAAGTCGGTGGCCTTGAGGGTTCTCTCCAGTGCACCCAGTGGGCAGTGGCAGGTGTGGCAGAGATGGTCATGAGAGCTCCCTTTTATTGGGTGTTCACTCTATACCATTTAGTCTGTATATCCATCCTCTGAGCTGGTTATGTTTATTTCCCCACATTTCACAGGTTAGGAAGTACAGGCCCAGACTGGATTGAGGGCACACAGCCAACAGGTGGCAGAGCCGGGGTTCCATAGAGACAGTCTGGCTCCAGAGCCCTAGGCTGAATCAAAATAGCCCCTGGCCATGTATATGAAATGTTGGGCAAGGAATTGCCATTCTCTCTGTAGACACCATCTGTTGGCAAACCCAGATGTTTCAGGTGCAAGATTATACAAATTAACATGACCTCAATGCATCCTCCTTACCCCTCCTCAGACCACACAACGACAGCAAACCCAGTCCCAGCTGGCTGTGGATGGAGGGTGCCCTGACTAAGGCCACAGCAGGGTAAACAGTCAGAAGATATTTAAAGGCCGGGCGCGGTGGCTCACGCCTATAATCCCAGTACTTGGGGAGGCTGAGGCGGGAAGATCACCTGAGATCAGGAGTTCGAGACCAGCCTGGCCAACATGGTAAAACCCCATCTCTAGTGAAAATACAAAAATTAGCCTGGTGTGGTGGTACATACCTGTAATCGCAGCTACCTGGGAGGCTGTCAGGAGAATCGCTTGAACCTGGGAGGCAGAGGTTGCAATGAGCTAAGACCACGCCACTGCACTCCAGCCTGGGAGACAGAGCGAGACTCCATCTCAAAAAAAATAAATAAATAAATAAATAAGAATGGTGACTTCATCTGCTTAGGTGGCCTCCCTGGAGGACTCTGGCCTTGGAGGATCCCAGCAATATGATAGGGACTCTCCAACATGGCCTGGAGCCCTTGTGAGCCAGCGCCAATGAGGCACGAGGGGTGCAGTTCATCACAGGCTTCAGAATCTGATGGGCCTGGGTCAAGTCCTGGTCTTGCTGCTCATGGGCTGTGACCCCAGTGAAGGCCCAGCCTCTCTGAGCCTCAGACATCTCATCTGTGCCATCAAGGGGCTGAACAGATATCAATGACTCTTTGACCTTACCAAGGTCTGTGCCATCTGCAAAGTGCTCTGACATTTCTTGTGTCTCTTCAACAACCCCACTAGTAAGAAAAGGAAAGGTTAGTCCCTATATTAATCTGCAAAATGGGGAAAACCCTTTGCACTTGGTCCCTTCCCCACAAACCTCATTGCTGGGAAGTAGCAAACTTCAAAACTCTAGGCCTCCCAAAGTTAAGGCCAGCACATGCAGGTTCTGTCCGGTCTTTGAATTCAACATTGTGGTCCAAGCTTAACAGAAAAGGCAGTTAACAGGGAAGACCAGGGAAGACCACCTTCTGTGTGCTGGCCATGGGGGAGCTGCCCGCAGCCATTTTCTCATTCCATTCTCCTTGAGATTCTCTCCGTAGATATTTTTATTCCCGTTTCACAGTCAGCTACCCTGATTACAACGTAATTCTGACTTGAATGGTGTCTGTGAACCTCAGAAGTCTAGAGGATTTACTGCCCAGTGAGGTGGAGGGGAGGGCAGAGCTCAGATAATTGAGCAAGGCAGGGTTGGGCTTTCTGGGAACCCTGATACACACAGCAGAGCAAATGCCTTTCAAATGACTGGGAAGAATCAGCTCAGTGACCTGACGCAGCGGGAGGAATTCCAGCCAGAGATGAAGGTAGCCTTAAAAGGCTGTGTAGATTGCAGAATGTTAATAGTGCCACAAAACTCATAATCAAGATGCTGCACGGGAATTAGGGTCCGGTTTCAAAAGTGTGGCCAGGCATGGTGGCTCATGCCTGTAATCCTAGCACTTTGGGAGGCCGAGGCTGGCGAATCACGAGGTCAGGAGTTCGAGATCAGCCTGGCCAACATGGTGAAACCCCCGTCTCTACTAAAAATACAAAGAACTAGCTGGGCATGGTGGCGGGCCCCTGTAATCCCAGCTACTCAGGAGGCTGAGGTAGGAGAATCGCTTGAACCCAGGAGGCGGAGGTTGCAGTGAGCTGAGATCACACCACTGCACTCCAGCCTTGGTGACAGTGCAAGACTCAGTCTCAAAAAAAAAAGTGTGACTGACTGGACACAGTGCCTCACACCTCTAATTCCAGCAGTTTGAGAGGCTGAGGCAGGCAGATCAGTTGAGGTCAGGAGTTCAGAATCAGCCTGGCCAACATGATGAAACCCTGTCTTTACTAAAAATACAAAAATTAGACGGGCATAATGGAGCACGCCTGTAGTTCTGGCTACTCAGGAGGCTGAGGCAGGAGAATTGCTTGAACCCGGAAAGCAGAGGTTGCAGTGAGCCAAGATCACGCCACTGCACTCCAGCCTGGGCAATAGAGCCAGACTGTTTGAAAAAAATAAAAGTGTGACTGATTCAGACAAATCTCAGCCAATAAAAGATGTGGAAAACATTTTTAAAAAGACAGACAATACTATTATTTTTAAGTGTATTAAAAAGCCGTTATGTGCCATGTACTGTGCTTGGCATTTTATATATGTTCACATTTGATCTACAATTCATCCTCACCACAATCTTTTTTGTTTGTGTGTGTGTTTGTTAACTTTTTTTGAGATGGAGCTTCGCTCTTGTCACCCAGGCTGGAGTGCAATGCTGGAATCTCAGCTCACTGCAACCTCCGCCTCCCAGGTTCAAGCAATTCTCCTGCCTCAGCCTCCCAAGTAGCTGGGATTACAGGCATCCACCACCACGTCCAGCTAATTTTTGTTATTTTTTTAGTAGAGATGTGGGTTTCACCATGTTGGCTAGGCTAGTCTCGAACTCCTGACCTCAGGTGATCTGCCCGCCTTGGCCTCCCGAAGTGCTGGGATTACAGGTGTGAGCCAGTGCACCCAGCCTCACAATCTTGATTTATAAGTCTTAATGTTTGGAGAGAATAAGTCATCTGCCTGAGGTCACCAGTAAACTGTTTTAGCTAGAGTAGGGATCCCACACATAGGTCTGAGGGATTCTCAAGCCCATGTTCTGTTTCACTATCCCCCTTCTAATGCTCACTTTTAATTTTTTAAAAATACAGAACCTGTAATTACAATAGCCAAGCGAAGTAAAGGAGCGGTACTGCTGGGAATGTATATAAAATACAGAATACAAACATTGAAGTGTTCTGAAATAAGCACAGAGGGGCAACTTGTAATTTCTCTTATGGGTCCTTAAAGTTGATTTCCACTGCTTAATCTAGCTGTTATCACACACCCTGGCTTCTTATGAAAAAGCCTTAGACTTTGCCTGAGAACCCTGTGTTGTGAGTTGAATTGTGTCCTCCTAAAGGATATGTTGGAGACTTATCACCTAGCACCTGTGAAGACGACCTATCACCTAGCACCTGTGAAGATGACCTATCACCTAGCACCTGTGAAGATGAACTATCACCTAGCACCTGTGAAGATGACCTAGCACCTAGCACCTGTGAAGATGACCTGTTGCCTAGCACCTGTGAAGATGACCTGTCTCTTAGCACCTGTGAAGATGACCTGTCACCTTGCACCTTTGAAGATGACCTTATTTGGAAACAGGATCTTTGCAGAAGTATTCAGTTTATGAGTGAAGATGAACTTATTTGGAAACAGGGTCTTTGCAGAAGTATTCAGTTTATGAGTGAAGATGAACTTATTTGGAAACAGGGTCTTTGCAGAAGTATTCGATTTATGACGAGGTCACACTAGATTGGGGTAGGCACTAAATCCAATGACACATAGGGAAGAAGGCCATGTGCAGGTGCAGGGAGAGACACAAGAGAGGCTGCCACAACCCAAGGGATGCCGCCACCAGATTGGTGGTCACCACCAGAAACTGGAAGGGGCAAGGAAGGACTTTCCCCCTCTGCCTTCTAAGGAAGCGTGGCCCCACCAACACCTTGATTTCCAACTTTCTGTTCTCTAGAAGCGAGGATATATTTCTGTTGTTTTAAGCCACCGAGTTTGTGGAAACTTGCTAAGCAGATCAAGGAAACAAATATACCTTCCGGGAACTTAAAAGGCTGCCCATGGTGGGTAGTGCTGTCTCACCATGGTAACCCTCGATTTTTCCTCAAAATTTCAAACAAAACGTTAAGCATGGCTATTATTATCAGAAAAGTTATTTTACAAATCATGTAAGACAAATAAAAACAACAGTAATTTAGAAAGTATTGACATTTTACACAAATAAATTAGAGATTTTTGAGACACACGTACACACACATATTTAATAGAGATATTATTAGTGACTATAAAGTGCCCTATTCTCACTGGCTGACTTCTGGACAGTTGCCGAAGCTCTTTTGCATTCCTTATCGTATGAAAATCTGTTAGAAATTGGCACTGTCAGCAAGGTTGAACCATGACTTCCATTTCACATGTGCGCTCAATGCTTAGCTACCACATGTAAGTGAGAATATGCAGTATTTGGTTTTCTGTTCTTGCATTAATTTGTTTAGGATTAGGGCCTCCAGCTCCATCCATGTTGCTGCAAATAACATGATTTCATTCTTTTTTTATGTCTGCATGGTATGGTATTCTGTGGTGTACATGTAGCACATTTTCTTTTCTCTTTTTTTTTTTTTTTTTTTTGAGACAGAGTTTTGCTCTGCAGCAGAAATACTGTTTAACTGTTTCTGCTTTTATTTTTTCTGATTATCATCTTTATCATCCAGTTTTATATGTTCATATCTGTGTGCTTTGATAATTATATTACATGCTTTTTGGTTATTATCTACTTATTCATTACATTGAAAAAGAAGAGATCTATTCTGCTTGCTCTATAATCTACATTCCCTTCCCTCCTACATTTTTTTAGTTTTCTTGATTTGGTTTCTTATTGAAACTAGAGGTAGACTGACTGTAAATAGAAAGTAGTTTAAGCTTCAGCACCTTTAATCTCTCAGGCTCCTTCCTATGTTCTGGACCTAATTTTGTTAGGTCTCAGACTCCTTCCAATGTTCTGGACCTAATTTTGTTAGGTCTCAGACTCCTTTCAATGTTCTGGACCTAATTTTGAATTTGCAATATGTACTCATGTTCTTTAAAGACAGCCTCCAAGTTAGATAAGCTCCAGCCATTCAAAATCTAGATCTGCCCCATTAACTTTATAAAGTCAGTATAACAACATTAACAAGATATAATCACCGGAAAATGGCCTACTCGATTGGGCATCAAGATGGCTGAATAGGAACAGCTCCAGCCTCCAGCTCCCAGCGTGAGCAACACAGAAGGCGGGTGATTTCTGCATTTCCAACTGAGGTACTGGGTTCTTCTCACTGGGGCATGTCAGACACTCGGTGCAGGACAGTGGGTGCAGCCCAACGAGCAAGAGCCGAAGCAGGGCGAGGCATCACCTCACCCGGGAAGCACAAGGGGGAAGGGAATTCCTTTTCCCAGCCAGGGGAAACTGTGACACACAACACCTGGAAAATCGGGTCACTCCCACCCTAATGCTGAGCTTTACCAAGGGTGTTAGCAAATGGAACACCAGGAGATCATATCCCGCACCTGGCTTGGAGGGTCCCATGCCCATGG